GGACTGGACACCCTGCAGACACACTGACCCCCCCACAGGACCAGGACTGGACACCCTGCAGACACACTGACCGCCCCCCAGGACCAGGGCTGGACACCCTGCAGACACACTGACCCCCCCAGGACCAGGACTGGACACCCTGCAGACACACTGACCCTCCAGGACCAGGGCTGGACACCCTGCAGACACACTGACCCCCCCAGGACCAGGACTGAGTACAGGGATATCATTGTACAGTAGAATAAAGGGGGTGCTGTGTATGACGGGCAAGCTTACATGTGTACCCCTGCTGTAGAGAGGAGAGGAGGGAGCAGTGCAGAGAAGAGGGGTGTGGCAGGGAAGGGGGCGAGTATTCTGACCTGGAAGTTCTGCTTGAAGCGGCGGAAGTTGCGCTGCAGGAGGAAGGTGTCGGTCTCCTGGAGGAAGCGGCTGTGCTGGTTATCCAGGTTCTCCAGCAGGACCTGGAAGAGGACACTGGCCACGGAGGGGTCCTGCGTCGCTCTGACCCTGGAGACGGGAGAGAGAGGAGATGTGGGCTGAGACACCAGAACACAGCATACTAGTCGTGCCGGGGCACGATGGGGCACACAGCGCCAGCAGAACCCCCCCCCCCTCAATGCACAGAGCCGCCAGCCGCCGATCAATGCTGAGATCGCTGGCGCACAGAAGAGAACGCACTGTACCGGCCAGCTTTCACACGCTTTTCTAAAAAAAAACAAAACAAAAAAACAACTCCATTGTCACATCCCGAAACAAGTGCGTTTCCTCTTCAACGCCAAAGGCTCACTTGCGCTGGGCTGTGCCAAGGCCTCAGGCCTGAAATCACTCTTTAACAAGGAGAGGCCCGTGTCAAAATCGGTCTCCGTGCTCGCTAACGAAGAGGGATTCCCACACGTCCTGTTCCCAGGAACGGGGCGTTGGGGCTGTCGGAAAGGCGGCATGACTCAGACACTCACCCCGAGCGCCAGACAGCACAGTCACTCGCCCACAGGGTGCCGACTGCTCATCTAACAGTCTAGTCACGTGAAAAAGCATAAATCTGTCCTCATTAATGGTAAGAAATCGAAAAATATATTTTATGTTCCCTCCTTTTCAGAAAAGCCTTTACTTAACTGCTTCCATTCTTCACCCCTCTGCTCTTCTTAATACCATCTTCCACGGTCTCCTCTATTGTTATTGTTGTATTGTTGTAATTATAATTGTGTCCTGTCTTGTGAAATTTTCTTATTTATTGTTGTAGTCTTCTTATTTATTGTTATTGTCATCCTGTAAAGCGCTTTGAGAAGCCACCTTTAAAGGCGCTATATAAAATAAAGTTTTTTATTATTATTATTATTATTATTATTATTATTATTCATTATGTGGCTATTAGCTTTGCGGCGACGTGTGATCATGCCTCTGAAAACAGAAGTCCATTGAGGTGCAGATACTGGGGTCTGTTTGTTGTTGTTGTTGTTGTTGTTGTTTTTTTTAAGAGCTTTACTGGGAGTTTTCTGAATCACCTTTTTCCAAAATACACAGCTACCGTTAAGATTGCTAGCTGGTGGGACACTTTTTTTTTAACTCAAATGTCAAGTACTTTTGATTTGGATTTATGATAGGTTGTTAAATGACAAATCAACTCAATTATGGTTAACTTTCCATAGCTGTTAGCTGACTTTAGTCATGGATGACATTTTTTTACTCCTTTATGAGCACAATCCTGTGCTGAACTCTTAAACACACACTGAGGGGAACAAAAAGCATGTTAAAGCATGTAGCCCTGCTTTAACCCTTCATTTACTTGAGCCTACAGTAATAATAATAATAATAATAATAATAATAATTGCTTACACTTATATAGCACTTTTCTGGACACTCCACTCAAAGCACTTTACAGGTAATGGGGACTCCCCTCCACCACCACCAATGTGATGATGATGGGGATGATGTGACAGCAGCCATAGTTCGACAGAACGCTCACCACACACCAGCTACCAGTGGGGATGAGAGCAGAGTAATGTAGCCAATTCATAGAGGGGGGATTATTAGGAGGCCATGATTAGTAAGGGCCAATTGGAAATTTGGCCAGGACACCGGGGTTACACCCCTACTCTTTTCGAGAAACACCTTGGGATTTTTAATGACCACAGAGAGTCAGGACCTCAGTTTTACGTCTCATCCGAAGGATGGCGCCTGTTTACAGTATAGTGTCCCCGTCACTATACTGGGGCATTAGGACCCACATGGACCGCAGGGTGAGCGCCCCCTGCTGGCCCCACTAACAGTACTTGAGTAGCAGAAGCCCGTGAGCTCAGACTGTGGCCCAGCAGGGTACACTAGTCAGAGCTCGATCTGGGGCTCCTCATCAGAGGGTTGGGGTTCAGGTATCACAGCCACTCCCCATCTACTCCAATATCCTATGAACCCTCATGATCTAACATATAGGGGACTTGCGTTTGGCCAAGTGTGCGTTTGTCCTGCAGGCTTGTGCGCTGTAACATTGCCGACTGATGAAGAAAATTCATTCTGGAGAGAGCGTCAAGCCGGCTCCGCCATCTAATCCCCTTTGCGGCCCGTCTTGACTTGAGCGGTACCCCTGCTCACCAGTCCTGGGTCTCTATCCAGTGGGCCAGGTAGTGCCGGACATCCATGGGGAACTCATCCTGGCCGTACAGCTCGTCCAACCGCTGGAGGTACACAGAGTCCAGGCGCTGCAGCTTCTCCCACTGCGTCATCCTGCAAGGGACATGACAAACTGGTCACACATTCCCGGGAAACACTTTGCCCTCCCCACGGGATGCTCCACTCAAAGCTCTTTACAGGTAATGGGGAATCTCCTCCACCACCGCCAACATGCAGCCCCACCTGGATGATGCCACGGCAGCCATAGTGTGCCAGAACGCTCCCCACACATCAGCTATCGGTGTGGAGGAGAGCAGAGTGATGAAGCCATTTCATAGATGGAGATTATTAGGAGGCTGTGATTGGTAAAGGCCAGGAGGCAATTTGGCTAGTACACTAGGGTTAACACCCCTACTCTGAGAAACGCCCTGGGATCTTTAATGGCCACAGAGAGTCAGGACCTCGGTTTTATGTCTCATCTGAAGGACAGTGCCTTTTTACAGTTTAGTGTCCCCGTCACTATACTGGCTGCCAGTTGTGAGTTGCAGGGTGACATGGCTGCTGGCTCAATTGCTGGGCCAGCGGGCTTTACTGGTCACAACTGCATCGTTGATATCTGCAGACCTGCAGCAACTAATCAGGGGATTCACTGAATTAAGTAGCCGACCCGACAGATCATTTGGTGGGGGAAATAATCAGAACAGAAAATGAAGACCGATCTCGGTGGTGGAGGAGAGAGTTCAGTTAATTAAGCGACAAATGTAAAGCGTTTCTTAACCTTTGACAAAACACATCTACTGTACAACTAACCCTGGACTGGGAGCCTTGCTCACAGACTACGTGAACATAAGAACGCAAGACAAGTCCAACAGAAAAAGAGGAAGCTAATTGAGGCCATCCGACCCATCTAACCCATTTGCTACTTATCAGCTACTTGATCTGGGACCTCACCTAGCAATTTCTTGAAAGAAACCAGGCCATCGGCTTCAACAACAGGCTGGGAAGCTCGTCCCACACTCCCGCCACCCTCCGTGCACAGATGTTTAAATGCATTTCCCCGTAGGTCCCACCTGTACTTTTTGTTTTGTTTCACCGCTGATTTGGAAGAGGCCTAAGACTCGGTGCTGCTGACCAGAGGGATGAGGGTTCAAATCCCGGATGCTGTGCATCTGAAGGAGGTGGTTGACACCCTAGCAAGCTCAGCCATGTGTTTTGGTGCCTGTTCACATCTAAAAAGGTAGGCAGCTAGACATCTGCCTAGCTGCTTTAGATAAAACCGAAAAACCAAATTAAATAACATTCTCCTTTGCTCCCAGAGAACTTCTTAATTAGGTTTTTTTCTCATTAGCAAGGTTGATGTGTTTGCAATGAGAACCGCAGCATGACGGACTGCAGGCTACGGCTCTGGGAAAACATATTCCATTGCTCGGATGCGGTTTCCTGGAAAAGCGAAATCTCAGCAACGCCCTGGATAAACCGCTGTACCGTCCCTCGGTGGCCAGAAATGAAAAAGGAACCGAAACGGCTGACAGGGAAATAAGATAAAGGAACAGCAGTGGTTCTCCTGTGCTGCATCTCCCTCCGTTGTACACGAGCGCCGCCAGCGATAACAGCAAACTGCCACCCGTGGGTGGGATTGATGGGTCATTAATACTGGGATCTGATCCTGAAGCATTCCTCTGCAGCTCCAGGGTGGCGGTGGTGGGATCGGACGGATCCTCCTGGCACAAGGCTGGCCGACTGAACAGAATCGCCGTCTCACAGAACTGAGAGGCCTTTCTGCTAACCTCACTCCAGGAGCTGGGAGGGCGCCGGGCCAGCGCGTGCGTGCCCAGCCACGATCCCGCCGGCACAATGGCACGAGAAAACAGTTTGTTTTTCTGAAAATCAGGGCGGAGGGTGGGGGTGGGGAGGGAGGGCAGAAACAGAAAGAGAGACGGCAGCCGAGGACGCAGGAAGGGTGTTACCCCTGCTGTGCCAGGCCTAGCCTCCAAATCGGGCATCACCAGCTGCAGGTGTTCCCACAGCCACGGGCAACAACCGCTCCTCCAAGCCCCACCCTCCCTCTGGATTTGCATAATGCCTTGACTGTCAATTATTTTGCAATCAAATCACCTGCCGATGAGGGATACAAACTTGTACGATCGCCTGGGATCTGGGCACCGATACTGGCAGGAGGAGTGTCAACGCTGCTGTCCTGCTGGGGGGGGGGGGGGTGTCAGTCAGTGCCAGAGGATGACGTACCCAGACACCCCAGCGTCTGCGTCCGGCACGCAGAGACAAGCCCACGAGCCACTGAGCCGGGAAACTGCGGAGCGAGACGAGGCAGGACACCGCAGTAGGGACCTAAGTTCCTGGAAAGTGAAACTTAAAATTCTTGGGAGGAATTCTTCAGGATCAGATCGCAGTATTAATGACCCATCAATCCCACCCACGAGTGGCAGTTTGCTGTTATCTGAGCAAGGGCTTTCATTTCTAACTGCTTACCCAATTCAAGCTCGCGGGGGAGCTGGAGCCCAACCCAGCAAGTAACAGGCGCCAGGCAGAGTACATCCTGGACGGGACACCAGTCCATCACTGCGCAGACTATGGAAACATGAACACAGGGAACTCCACACAGACAGCATCCCTGGTCAGAAATCGAACCCAGGGCCCCAGCACTGCATGGCAGCAAAGCTAAACACTGCGCCACCATGCTGCACAGTAACAAAACAGCTCAATCTCAAATAAATCTTGCCAAGGCTGAGTGCGGAAACAAGGGAAGAGCTCAAACCGCAATTACCAACAGTGCTCAGGTGGTTAGGGAACTAGGGTAACAACCACCCAGGAGAGAAAAAAGGTCAAAGCAGGAAGAGAAAGTGGCTTTTTAACACACATGTCTAACAGTCATCCAGACGCAGAGCCACTTCCTGATCACGATCATCATAGCTGTCGTGGCTCAGGACTGCTTATAAAGAATGTAGGGAGACCGAAGATGCAACAGGCAAAGTCACACAAGTGTATTTTATTTCTTGACTTTAGTTCAGCATTTGATACAAATCCACAGAGTGTCCTGCTGAAGGACTGACAGGCTGAAGGAACTGAGTCTTTTTAGTCTGAAGGAACTGGGTCTCTTTACTCTGAAGGGAGAGTCCCACGCTGACAGGCTGATGGAACTGAGTCCCTTTAATCCTGAACAGAAAGGACTGCGAAATGACCAGATCAAAATATTCAGAACCCTCAAAGACAAAGCTAGCCCAGCAGACTTGTTCAGTACCAAGAGCAAAACATGAGCCAGAGGATATGAGTGGAAACTACAAAGGGAAGAACATTTAAAACCGAGAAGAGGATGTTCTTCCTTACATAAAGGGTGATTTGAGGGTAGAACAATCACTCCAGTCATGTTGAGGAAGCCGATTCCGGGGCTTTTTTCAGGAACAAATTGGGTGAGATCATGATGATGTATCTACTATCATCCCAACAGGGTAGATAACTACAGGGAAGCGCAATGGGAAGAAAGCAATGGGTTCACCACAAAGTTTTATTTGGTTTGAATAGCATCAAACACATGACCAGCGGGGTGGCGCAGTGGTCAGAATGGCCATCTTGCAGCGCTGCGGTCCTGGGTTCAATTCCGCACATGGGGTGCTGTCTGTATGTTCTCCCCCAGGTGCTCCCACTTCCTCCCATAGTCCTGCAACCCTCTATTAACATGCAGTGCTGGTAGCTCAACACGTCAATAGGAAAATTGGCCCTGGTGTGTCTGTGTGTCTGTGTGTCTGTGTGTCTGTGTGTCTGTGTGTCTGTGTGTCTGTGTGTCTGTGTGTCTGTGTGTCTGTGTGTCTGTGTGTCTGTTGGAATAGGCTGCAGTTCCCCTGCAACCCTGAACTGGACAAGCAGTTAATGAAAGTTATGGTGATGATCCTACTGGTCTTCCATTCCATAGCTGGACAGGATACGGGGATCAACTAGCTGCCACCCTCTGATTTGTAACCTCTCTTTTGTATAAAGCACCAGTAAGATCTACAGAAACTCATCTTGACAGGGCATTTGAAAAGTCCAGTTCTCAGCAGGAGAAACCCAACATTTTCAACAGCTTCAGAAAACCCCCACAGCCTGTCACCACCACACAGCACAGCATCACACAGCTCTCCCATAATTACATGACTTTCGCCCTCAGCGTTTTGCATGAGCAATGCTTTCGTGAGCAATGCCGCCAACAGGTATTTTCAGTGAACTCTTTGCTTAAGTGCCTGATGACAGGGCGCTCTGTTATTGGCTGGAGAGAAAACAAGCAGCAGGAGGACACTGGCACGCCGATGGATGCTTTGCAACACGCCTGCCCGTGTGTTATTAAACACAGCTCCGGTAGGGGTGCCAGTCAGCTAACAATTTCACTATGAGAAAGCCTTGTTTAGGAAAGTGATGTCTCAGTAAAGGGAACACTGGTCCTGGAGGGATGAACGGTGCTCCGATTTTTGTTCCAAATGATCTCTGAATTATTTAACTGAACACACCACCTGTTTAACTGATCACAGATCAATTGTTCCAGGACTAAAGAAACTAAAGACTAAGCAGCGAGTTTTGAAACCTGTTGGACTGGGTCTCTCCAGGACCAGAGCTCGACACGCCCAGAGTATCTGGACTGGGACCAGGGTTCAAGACTCCCAGACTGACTGAACTGGGTCTCTCCAGGAACAAGGTTCGAGACCCCTGTACTGACTGGACCAGGGTTCGATACTCCAAGATGGACTGGACTGGGGTTCTCCAGGACCAGGGTTCAAGACTCCCGGACTGACTGGACTGGGACTCCTGGACAATGAAAATGCTTGCACTGTTAATAACTGCAGATTGCAATACAAATCAAATACCAATTTAATACAAATTAAACTAAAACCCTGTGCTGAAACTGGTCTCTCCGTGCCACCTTCCAGCACCACAGCAAACTCCTGTGACCTCCAGTCACACTGCTCTGTGGGGTGGTTTAAGGTCAGAAGGTTCATTTGAGTTTATTTACCGATGAGGCCTGCCAGCTGATCGTCTAATCTGATGACCTACCCTGATGACCTACCCGATACCTCAAGATAAGGAGAGGGGATATTATACAGCCACAAATAAGAGTCCCTTCATTAATGAGGGGTGGGTGGGGAAGCCATTTACAAAAAAAAGGATAGCATGTGATTCTTGCAAGATCAGTCTTCACAGAAATACAGGAAATGGACTGATAAAAACAGCAACACTGGCTCCCCACGCCTTCAGCCCTTCAGCACCCGATCAAGACATTGTGTACATATCCTCTCGCAACCGCCGACGTGCGAGCGCAGGGACAGGACAGGAGCCGCCAGCTGGGGGGGGGGGGCGGGGGAACAGTGCCATTGAACATTTCACAATCTCTCCCCTGCAGATCTCCCACAGACAGGCACATAAACAACTTTTGCAAAGAGAGCGGGGTGGCTATTAGGCCCATCCAGCAACTTTTGTTTTAACTCCACAAGGAGGTAAGATCATTCTAGGGAGAGTGAAGAAGGTGGTTCCTTTGAAAACATACACTGTAGGGCTGCTATAACACATCAATTTCCCTTCGGGATCAATAAAGTCTTATCTATCTATCTCTAGCCCATAACAGCTACTAGTTACTTCTGCGAGGGAGGAGTTTATGAAGTATTACATCACATCCAATAACCACATATCCAATTCAGGGTTGAGCAGGAACTGGAGCCTAGCCCAGGAAGCCCTGGGCACAAAGCAGGGCACACACACACACCAGGGCCAGTTTCCCAGAAGCCAATTAATACACCAGAATGTCTCTGGACTGTGGGAGGAAACCCACGTAAAACAGAAACAGAGAGAGACCATGCAAACTCCACACAGACAGCACCCCAGGCATTGAACTCAGGGCCCCAGAGCTGTGGGGCAGCAATGCCTCACAGCACCACTGTGCCTCCCCATGTTTTTGTGGAAGATGGGCAAAACTACTTTCAGAGGGAATTAACTACTTTACAAAGACACTGTATACACCTGACTAATCACTGTAAATCTCGCCGGACGAAAGTATTCTCCCCACAGGTTCCTGTTCCATTTTAAAAATTAGTCCCTCATACCAGTAAGCTTTACCTTTAATGGATTTCTTTCGAAAAGTAGCTTCCTCAACACTCTTGGGGACGAGACGAAGAAAATCGACACAGTCAACTTAGGCAAGTCAAACTCTGAACTATACTGTTGACGCCGGAAGATCTGTTCTGAGAATTCACAAGTGGTAAAACAGTCCTCCCCCAACGTCGGTGACAAACCACCAGCTGAGAGATAGTCGGACTTTTTACACTGACCTGACCCTATCACAAACGGGCGGAATGAAGAGTGACGATACACAGGTAAACCAAATGCAGGCAGAAAGAAAAACATCGCGAAACCGAACACGCGTGGCGCGACTGCAGCGTCGCCTGTGGAGGCGGTTATTCTAAGTAGTCCCTAAGGTTTGTCGCAAAAACAACAAAAAAAAAAACATACTAGAGGAAAGTGCCTGCCTCTCTCAAATATTTCCAAAAAGCATTCAATTTCACTCGCTTGAAACGCGAGTGTTTTTGTCACAGCTCACGTGCGCCGTGCAGATGGACCCCGCCGTACAAGACACTGGAATTAAACAGTTCGCCTGCAGAGACACGCAGCGGGTCATTTCTTCGTAGAATAAACTGTGTTTGAGCCACGACGAGAGACATAAAGACGGGATACTTACCTGAACCCGGGCAGTTGCTCTAACTTCCTGGTGCAGTGCGGTTTATTTGTGTCTTCCTCCTGGCTGGACACTAACGCTGTTTAATTTCAGTTATGATATCAGGCGAACGACGCAGGATGATATAAACAGTTTCTACACACACTGCAGAAACATGAGGACGCCGCGAATCGCGACTAATATTAACCGACACTTGAACTTGACCAACTCACTCGCACGTTCTCCCCTGCCTCGAACAAGCGAGTAATTCAACCTCCCCCTGGCGAAAAAATAGAAACATTGATGGGCACATTAAACCCCACCTTATCTGGAGGAGGTTTCCGGTGTCAATTGATGTATGAGAAACCGGCGCCATTGTGGCGCCTATCCGGAGTTAATCTTAGCGTGTAAAGCTAATATAAATTCTGAGCCAAAATGGCGGCGACTAAGGCTGCGTCTTTCAGTTAGGACGCAGAACACATTGGTGTAGTTACATCTTCACCACCCCGCCCAACCGCAGTAGCGCCACGCCTTCTCCAGTTGCTCATTGGTCACATGTGAGCTGTCAAACTCCCCGGCTGCGGCCGATGTGGACCGCGGTTTGGCTGACGTGCCTGCCAGTCTAAGGCGGGAGCCTGAGTTGGACGTATGCAGCAGAGGGTGGCGAAACCAATTAGAAGAACGGCGGCTTCAGCTGCCACCGGCTGAGATCAGCTGATTTACGAGAAATGACGTAAGGAAAGCGGAGGAGCTGCGTTGTCTCAAAGGGAGGAAGGCGCTGAGATTTAAACGCAGAGTTTGGTCTGGTTCACGAGCGCAATAGCACAACACACTGACACTTCAACTTCATTTCAACTTTGTTTGTTACATAACCAATCCCGGTGTCCAGTCCTGGTCCTGGGGGGGACAGTGTGTCTGCAGGGTGTCCAGTCCTGGTCCTGGGGTATCAGTGTGTCTGCGGGGTGTCCAGTCCTGGTCCTGGGGGGGTCAGTGTGTCTGCAGGGTGTCCAGTCCTGGTCCTGTGGGGGGGTCAGTGTGTCTGCAGGGTGTCCAGTCCTGGTCCTGGGGTATTAGTGTGTCTGCGGGGTGTCCAGTCCTGGTCCTGGGGGGTCAGTGTGTCTGCAGGGTGTCCAGTCCTGGTCCTGGGGGGTCAGTGTGTCTGCAGGGTGTCCAGTCCTGGTCCTTGGGGGTCAGTGTGTCTGCATGTGTCCAGTCCTGGTTCTGGGGGGTCAGTGTGTCTGCAGGGTGTCCAGTCCAGGTCCTGGGGGGGTCAGTGTGTCTGCAGGGTGTCCAGTCCTGGTCCTGGAGGGGGTCAGTGTGTCTGCAGGGTGTCCAGTCCAGGTCCTGGGGGGATCAGTGTGTCTGCAGGATGTCCAGGTCCCTTCACAGCAGCAGTACTTGAGGAGCTCGGAGAAGCTGTTCAGCTGGTCCAGTTAACCCACTGATAATGATTTAGCTCATGGAGAGCTGAAATGAAAGCCTGCAGACACAGCAGTCTCACAAGGACCAGAACTGCAGACCAGAACTGGGACAGACAGCAAAGTATCAATGATCCCACCAGTTTATACAAGGTAGCAGGTTTGGATGAGCCAAATAATAACCTGAAAACTCACCATCCCGAACATGGGGTGGGAGACTGTTCCATAAGATGGGTGCCCTGTAACTACAGGCTTCACCGCCAACTGTTATTTTATTAATGCGTGGAATATGAAGAAGACCTGCATTCTGTGATCTAAGCTGTCAACTTGGATTGTGTACATTAATAAGTTCCATTAGATAGACAGGTGCCTGACCTCAGAGAGCCTTATAAGTAGAAGGATTTTGAAGTCTGCCCTGTACCTGACAGGAAGCCAATGAAGAGAGCTAAGTATGGGGGTTATATGGTCGTACGTTCCGCTCCAGGAGCAATTCTAGCTGCTGCATTCTGAATCCGCTGTAAGGTGTTGAAGGAGTGATGGGTACTCCCTGATAGTAGGGCACTGCAGTAGTCTAACCTGCTGTATACAAGAGCATGTATTAATTTCTCTGTGTCTTGAGGGGAGAGAAACTGCCTTAGTTTAGCAATATTTCTTAACTGTAGGAGGAATGTTTTCGATACTGTTTTAACCTGAGAGTAAAATGAGAGCCTTGTGTCTAATATGTTGCCTAGGTTGTGTGCTGAGTCTTTGAGGCAAATTTTTAAATCCTCTGAGTTAAGTGCTGAAGTTATAGTAGTCCTATCAGTATTGTTGCCTCCAAACAACAGAACCTCAGTTTTATCAGAGTTGAGTAACAAAAAGGTTGCACACATCCAAGTCTTTACTTCATTAAAGCAATTAACTAAAATGATAATAGACGAGTTGTCATTGGGTATAAAACGAAATGTATCATATCAGCATCAGCATAGAAATCAGCATATGAATGAAAGTTAATATTATGTTTTCGTATTATCCTACATAGCGGCAACATGTACAGAAAGAACAATATTGGTCCCCGCACTGATCCCTGTGGTACCCCAAATTGGTGACATTGACAAAGCTGCACAATTATTAGATATTTGAACATAATGAAAACAATTAGTTAAATATGAACTAAACCACATAAGGATGGTTCCACATAAGCCAACCTCAAACTCAACCCTGCGTAACAAAACAGAGTGGTCAACCGTGTCCAAAGCAGCACTAAGATCTAGAAGCACAAGCACTGTTGCACTCCTTGCGTCAGTAGCTAACAGAATATCATTTACAACTCTTGTTGATGCAGTTTCAGTGCTGTGGCGTAGGCGGAAACCAGACTGGAATTTCTCAAGTATATTATTTGAGTCCAGATACGATAGCAGTTGGGCCACAACTATTCTCTCAAGAACTTTAGATAGAAATGGGACGTTTGAGACAGGCTGTAGTTGTTAAGAGCCTGTGGATCCAAATTTGGCTTCTTAATGAGCGGTCTAACAACTGCTACCTTAAATTGATCAGGTACAAGGCCTGATGCAAGAGCCATGTTCATCATACTAATTATAGCTCCTGCCAGTACTCTGAGGGAATCTTCGACTAGCTGAGTGGGGATGGGATCTAGCGGACAGGTGGTTGACTTTGTCTCAATAATTAATTTCTTGAGTCCTTGTTCATGAACTAATTGAAAAACACTACAGAGGTGCGCATACCGTCTCTGTACCAGACTTCTTTGCAGCTTATTTGATTGTGTTTGAAGTCTGATGGTGCTAATTCTATTGTTAAAGAAGTTCATGAAATCGTCACTACTAAAGTTAGATGGTGCCATAGAACGGTTCTTATTTGTAAGATTAGCTATTTTCTTAAATAGGTAGTGGGGGTTATTTTTATTGCTTTCTATAAGTTCAGAGTAGCAAACTGAACAAGCTCTATATAGGGCTTTCTTGTATTGCTGTAGGCTATCAGTCCATACTGACTTGAATACGTGTAGACCAGTAGACCTCCACTTGCGCTCTAGTTTGCGGCACTCCTGTTGAAGAGATCATGAGTGATCAGTGTACCGTGGAGAGTGTCTAGCAGCTTTGACTACCTTAGTCTTTAACTAGGAGGGTGGGCAGGAGAACCAGTCACAGGAGAGCCTGGAAAACCGGAGCACCAGAATTCCTGGGCCGGTTGCAGCACCGTCTTCCTGGCAGAGGCGTGGACAACCAAGCAGCCGGGTGGGGGCTTCAGGAAAAGCATGAATGAAGGCGTGTGTTGCCCTCACTGCTGACGGGGTATCTCCAATAGAAGGGGTGTGCGGGACAGGGGGCACAGGACACACCCAGGGTTTGTCAGGGGGAGGTGGTTCAGGGAGGTCTTCCACCAGAGGGACAGGTGAGTGAGCCCCAGAGGGTGAAGGTCATCCTGTTTGTTCACTCTTGCTCGCGGTTCTGGGATGATCTCAGCTGGAGCTTCACTAAGTGGAGTAGAGATATGCTCTTCCTGACCAGTGGAATGTGTGAACAACTACGACAACAACCCACACGTTCCCTGTGGATACACCCTGGACTGTACCATTTTCCACTCCCCTCCCAGGACTGTATCATTTATCTTCACCCCCCCCCCCC